TGCTGAGGCAGTATCACTACGGAAGTAGATTGCCCCATCTTCCTTCCGAGGAGTGGCTGGTGGGTTTGAACCGCCAGCCTTCTGGTTAGCAGCCAAGTGTCTTAGGCACTATGCTACCAGAGCTCCCTTACCATATAATACTATTTGAAAATTAAAAGCAAATCTGCATGAAATATTAAGATACATTCTCATCTGTTTATTTTAGATAGAAGCTACATAGGGTTTTTCACATTATCCTCTGTAGTTCTTAGTTTTTGGAATGATTGCTAGGCTGTTACAGAGGGAAGGGTGAAGTTCTAGCTTTAGTCGGCCTAGAATAGTGGTGCCTAGAATAGTGGTTCTCAAAATATGTTTCCCACCCACCAGCATCATCAGCATCATCTGAGAGTCTGTTAGAAATGCAATCGTCTGGTCTAGTCCAAACCTACTGAATCAGAGTCTCTGAATTGAGAGCCAGCAATCTGGGTTTTTACAATCTTCACAGGAGATTCTGCTAAGAGTTTAAGTTTGAGAGCCCTGGGGCAAGAACAGATGTGATCATTCATCTTGCCCTTTAATGCATCTAATGGTTGTTGTTGTTAAGTTTCCTTGAGTCAGCTCTGACCCATGGTGACCCCATGCACAATGCAATGAAACACTGCTGTGTCCTGCACCATTCTCACAGTGGTTGCTTGAGTCCATTGTAGCAGCCACTGTGTCAATCCATCTCATTGAGGGTTTTCCTCTTTTTCGCCAACCCTCTACTTTACCTAGCATGATATCCTTTTCCAGGGAATAGTCCCTCCTGATAACATAACCAAGTATGAGAGATGCATTTAATTAATCAGGACTTTTGGCAATATTGCTTATGATAGTTTTATTCTTGCAGATAAAAATGTTATATTAAGAGTTCCATAAAGATATTTGCAAAGTGTTTTAAAGGGAAGCCCCCTCTCTCTGCTTTGGGTGTTCAGGTTATTTTGGTTAGCCTGCTTGGACACATTAACTTTTGACACAAGTCCCAGCTAACCCATGACTTCTAGTTAAATTTCTGAAATTTTGGATATCTTGGCCAGTATAACTTTGTATTGATTATACACTACATGGAAACATTTCTTCATAAGTACTTAAGTCAGTGGTTCTCAAAGTGTGGTTTGCAGACCAGCAGCATTAGTATACCCTGGGAACTTACTAGAAAAGCAAATCTTAGGTCCCACCCTGGTGCTACTGAATCAGACTTTCTGGGAATGTGTCCCAGCTGTCTGTGGTTTGACAAGTCCACCAGGTTATTCTGATGCACAGTATCATCTGAGAAACTGACTTTAGGAAAAAAAAAAAAAAAACTACACAGGAGATATGTGTTCTTGTTAAGCATGATGTGCAATTTAAAAAAAGTTGCCAATATGAACAGCTCAGACTCTAACCAATCAAAAACAGTTGTTTGTAATGGCAGATTCCCACTCAAGACTGGCCTAGTTGAAGCTCACTGACATGAAATCCTAAAGGACTGGTACTTTTCCACAACGTTAAGTGTTATGTACTTCTTCCATATGCTAATGTACTGTTTGTATGTCATGAGCCCTTTTTCTCATTTAACTTTATCTGCTCTAAGCTATAGTTTAACTAAGTCGGAAAGTTTGGTTGCAACTAACTTAAGTAACTTTGTCAAAATGGCTTTAAATCTGCACAACTCCATCTTGTCAGTTTTGTCTGTTAATTCATAGCATCTGATTACAAGGACTGCTCTGAATTTTGAGATATATTCTGCATGCTTTACAAGTTGTTCTCAAGTGACTTGGAAAATTTTTTCAGAGATGGCTTTTCCAAATAGTAGAATTATCCAAACTGTATTGCATACATTACCAAACTCACTGCTGTCAAGTCGATTCCAACTCATACCTTGGTCTCCTACAAATCTTATAATTATTTTAGAGTCAGAAGTTTTTCCCAAGATATGCCAACAGTACTAACTGAACATGTAGTATTCAGAAAGGCAACAGGATTACTCTAAAAGAGTATGATGAGAGTATGGGGTACCAGATTTCTTTCTTTCTCTCTCTCTCTTTTTTTTTTTTTTTTTTATTGTGATTTAGGTGAAACTTTACAGAGAATTTTTTTTTTTAATTCAACAATTCTTATATATTTTGTTTTGTCACATTGATAACAATCCCCACAATGTAGCAACACTCTTCCAACTTCCTCCCTATGTTTACCACTTCTCTTTGTCTTTCTTTCCTATTCTTTCCTACCTTCTTAGCTTTATTCCTGGGCAAATATTCTCCTTGTGATCTCATGTGGTTGATTGTTCTAAGTAGTGCATACCTCCCTGGTGTAATTGTTCACTACATAGGCCTACTGTTTGGCTGAAAGTTGAGCCATGGAGATGAATTCAGCCTAAAGTGTGTCTGAGGGCCATCGTCTCAAGTTTTCCATCAGTCTCTATCAGACCAGTAAGCTTGGTCGTTTTTATGATTTTGAGTTTTGTTCCACATTTTTCTCCCACTCTATGTGGGACCTCCTATTGTGATCCCTTTCAGAGTGGTCAGCACTGGTAGCTGTGTACCATCTACTTCTTCAGGTCTCAGGATCATGGAGCCGGGGTTCATGTGGTTCATTGGTCCTCTGGACTAATTACTTCCTTGAATCTTTGATTTTCTTTACTCTTCTTTGCTCTGGATAGGAAGAGACCAATAGTTGGCTGCTCACAACGTACCCAATTTCTTGAGTCTCCTTCTGTTAGAAATATTTGATTAACTTCACTTTTCCTGAGGGAGATTCTATCTGGCTGAATCTTTCACTATTATTTTGTCAATCCTTATCATTTTTCTCCCTATGGCAAAACTGCCTAAATTCCCATTTGCAGAAATCTAGGGCTGGTTTTATACTTCAAACCAAAAACCAAACTCACAGCCATTGATTGAGTCAGATCTGACTCACAGCGACCCCTCCTTATGTTTCCAAGGCAGTATCACTACACAAGTACCTTCCTTCTGAGGAGTGGCTGGTGGGATTGAACCACCAGCCTCCTGGTTCCAGTTATCATCCAGTTAGCATTCAAGTGTCTTTAACAAACATTTTAATTTCATGGAAGCTGTCTGCTCTCCCATCTAACATCAATATCAGAAAGTCCATGAAGTGAGTAGGAGAATCATGGGGCTCAGGATCTCAGAAGTTAGGAAACTTTGCTTCAATTCTCAGTGCAGTTGACAGATTCTGCTAGAAGGATGATGAATCAGCCCCTTTGAGACAGGAAGAAATGAGCTAGAAGGTCCTTTCCTAAGTCCCAAGTCCATCCTAGTATGGGAGTATCATTCTTCACTGCTGGACCTACTAGTACTTGGACAAGTAAAAACCATACTTAAATATATGATACTTTGTTTTCAAGCAATAAAAAACACACTGTTTAATTTGGTAGCACACATCATGAGGTATTAGCTAGGATAGATAGTACACTAGGAAGATGGCTTCCTTCTGGAATATTCTTCAACCTGTGATAATTGAACTCAAGGGTAAGTAAATAAACCCTTGTTTCTGATGGGAATTTTTCATTCTCCATGACAGTTGACAGCAGAGGACTTTTCTGGGCATACTGCCCATTCCATTTTCTGGGTTTCTGTAAAAACTTGGAATATATAAATAATGAAACTAAAAGGTGTATTCTTTCAAAATCCAAGTTTTTTAGATATGAGTCACCTTATTATTTGGTCATCAGTGATGCATTAGTTTTCAATTTTCTTATGGAGAAAATTATGTTCAGTTGGAGGGTACTGTCCAATATTAACCAATAAGGTCAGTTAATTGGTCAATTTGTATTAAATATCAATCAACACCTGCTTAAAATGAAAACTTCCTTTTATTAGAAAGAATAGACCCACATGTTCAATACCAAAAAAGAATGAACAAGAGTAATGTATGAATAATGGAATCACAATTTTAATTTAATCAATTTAGGTGCTAAAAGTATTCCCCATAATTTATCAGCTATGACCCTTTTTTACATTATTTAAATATCAATCTACTTATATATTTTGCATATCATTTAAACACATTTATTCAATGTTCACTTTAACCCAGAATAAGATATTCACATAGTTCAGATATCTACTAATATAATGAGCAAGAGAAGAATCTGAATTTAATTCTTTGAATGGATTACAAAACCCTGGAATGGTCTACTGGATAACATGATGATAAACTGCAACTATGGCTTAACTTCTGTAGATAGCTTTTGGGCATTTATATGATGGTGTGTGAAATTCTTACATTCTCAGTTGTGGAAGGAAACTGCAATGGCTGGATTTTTTCTTATAGTTATTTGGTGTATTTGAAATATGTTACATCTGCTTTCTGCTTTAATGTAATTATTTTCATGAACGTTTCTTACGAAAAATCTACTAGCCATTTGTTTAAGGGAAGTTATATCCTATTCTAAGCCTCAAATTATTGCTTTTTTTTTTTTTAATTGCTCTATTGTCGACTCCACAGCAGTGAGTGTGTATTGTTGGCTGCAGAGACAAATTATATATACATATATATATATATATATATATATATATATATATATATATATATATATATATATATATTTTATATATATATATATATATATATATTATATGTATAATAAATTATTGTCAAAACCTGGTAGTTCAAAGTTTTGTACACAAGAAATGTTTAAATTTTCTCAGGGAGGATGCAAAACATCCAAAGGTCTAATATGATTTTCAATCAGAAGTTATTGCCAATATATTAACAAGAGAGGATAGATAATATTCTTCAGTGTAAAGATAAGCAAATACCATTTAAAGTAGATACAAACTATTCTACCTTGTGATTATATTTTATATGTTTGATTAAACAGTGAATATTATAATCATTGAAGGATGATTGTGCATAATCCAAGGATTTTAAAATATATATGTATAGTTTAGGCATCTCTACTGCTTGCACATAAAGATGGTGCACTGTATCAAATAAAGAAATGCTTCTGAAGTCAACTTAAAGACCAATCCTCACCATACCTTCATGGGAGCCAGCTGAATGGGTGTGATGCATGAAGGGTCTACCATGGGCTTCGGCCTGTTGGCTGTATCTGCTAACAGGCTGTGCCACTGCTGGGGAAGGCCGGTAAATTTCTGTTCTTGTGGATCAAACCCAGTATGAACCCTGTGTTCAAAGTTGGATGGGCCAGATATTTCAATCTTTTTCTTTTTCTTTCCAAACATGATGCAAATACCTAGGAAATGCAAACAGAAAAGAGGTAACTGTTTTTATCTTTCCAGCAGAAGACCAGTTACTGTTAATTCATTCACAGTTACATATTTTCATTTATTCCTCTCTATACACTAGTTGCAAAAGTTGAAAACTGTATTTTCAAGATGTGGTAGATTAGATTATTTTCATTCATTTGTTTATTTGTTTCCTCATTGCACTTGGCCATGTTTCAATGTGGTGGGAGTATAGTTCTCTCTTCCATTGGCTTTAGACTTTACCATGGAATCTGCTTTGACCAACGGTCTGTGGATAAAAAAGAGTGTGCCAGTTCTGAGTGGAGGTTTTCAGAGGCATTGTGTGTTTCCCTCTTGTGTTCCTGCCACTTAACATGAAGCTCTCTCAGGAAGATGATGCTACTTCAGCTTAGGATCTGGAAGGAGATATTCATGAGGCAGATACATCCACAGTCTCCAGTTTGGGGTCAAGTCCACGTTTATGGATTGACTTGTTTACCCCCAAAATGTGTTTTGGAGTCCTGACCCCTATGCCTGTGGACATAATCTTATTTGGGAATAGGATTTTCTTTGTTATGTTTATGAGGCCATATCAGTGTAGGGTGTGCCATAAATCTAATCACTTCTGAATGATATAAGGAGCAGCACAGAGACAAGCAAGCACAAACTAGCAAAGATAGATGCCACATGAAGATCACCAAGAAATAGAGGAATGCTAGAAGAGACAAAAAATTTCTCACAGAGACAATAGAGAGTGAACTTTCCCCTAGAGCCAGTTCTTTAATTTGGACTTCTAGCCTCCAGAACTGTGAAAAATAAATACCCACTAGTAGTATTTCTGTTACAGCATCACTAGCAAACTAAGACATTCAAGTAACCTTAACTGAGCCATAGCCAAACCACAGCGAAGCCACAGCTGACGCATGAGTGACAACTAATTGTAATTAAGCCATTGATATATTAGACTTGTTTGTTATGTGGCATTGTCAAAGCAAAAGCTGACTAGTACATGTGTGCACTTAAAATACAAAACATTTGTGAGGAAAACGTGTATACATGGAAAATGGGTTAATAATTATATTTATTACATAAAGTTTTTATTAGGATTAAATGAGTAAACATTTATAAAGCAATTGGAAAAGCACTTGGTATAAAATAAATGTTGGTTATTTTAAGCCATTACATTTTGGAATAGATTATTACATGGAAAAAGCTAACTGATACAATAGCAAAGACCTGACTATCAATTAAAACTTTGCAACTTCAGATGCTACTATCCAGCTGGTTGAGGGCCTTTGGCATTTTCAGTGTTCTGGAAATCATACAAAATAAGTGGCTCTACAAATTACTTCTGTTATTTAGTGCAAAAAAATATGTTAAAAACTATAATTTGATCATGCATTAGACTAACATTTTAGTTTACTTCAGACATGACAATTATTTAAAACAAGATTTGGAAATTGTTTCAGAAAAGTCATTTGAGAAGAGTTTTATAAATGTATTTATAACTGAGCAAGCACTGGAAATGTTAGGCCAAATATTTTTGGAACTGGAGTAGAAATGTGCCATTATTCTCATCCTGATTGTTAATTTACCAGAGGTTGTTATGCCATTCAAGTTTAGGTATGAAAGCAAAAATCACAGACCTGATACTTTTCCTGTTTTTAAAATGAAAGAGTTGTGGAGAGCAAACCAAGAACTGAATTATTCTACCTACACTTTATCCTGTGACTACACAACTGTAGTTTAAATTGTAATAAATATAGTTTTACATTGCCAGCAAAGTCAAGTTAAAGGATTATAAAAGAAGAAGCAACGTAAAAGGAAAATACAAAACATCCTAAATCCTAAAGCAATATTGCTTTGAAGTTCACATTTAACTAAATGCAAAGATAAAATTGCCAAGAAGTATAGTAAGATCTCATTAGCAATGGCCACTACTCTGTTGGCACCAAGGAATGCTACACGCTGGTAGAAGACAGAGAGAGTTCTGATGGCTTTTACCAACATGGAACAGAGGAACACATGTCAGGGAAGTGTAGATCTGCTTGGTAGCTGGTTTCTTCTCTGTGATAGGTGAACGGTTAGTCTGTATCTGCCATGTTGCTAAATGTTCAATGCATATGATTGCATTTAAAGCTCACAATAACCCTAGGAGGAGGTGTGTTTGGAGTCCCAAAATCACCCCCACATTTGATGATTTGCTAAGAGAAATCACAAGACTCAGCATACAGTCTTATTTATGACTATGATTTATAACTGCAAAAGTACATAAAGCAAAATCAGCAAGTGAAAAGGTACATAGGCAAAGTCCAGAGGAGACCAGGTGCAAACTCCTGAGCGTCCTCTCCCAGTGGAGTCATGTAGGATGTGCACAACTCTCCCAGCCATGAGTTTGACAACACAAGAATTATTGCCTCTCAGGGAAGCTCAGTAGGGACTCAATGTCTAGGATTTTTATTGGGGGCTAGTCAAGAAAGCACCCTCCATCTAGTATATACCAAAATTTAGACTCCCAGAAGGAAAGCAGAAGTTCAACATAAACCATATTGTTTACACAAACAGCTTAGGCACAGTGGATATTTCTTATCAGGGATGGGGGACCCATCCCAAAATCAAAGTTCCCACATGCCAGACATGGGCCAATCTTACAAGCAGGTCTTTTTAAGGTAAACAGGCTCTGTCCTGCTATATTAATGTTTTTATGCACAAGAATTTTTATTATCATGTCAATTTTAGAAAGGAGGCAACAGAAGCTAAGAGACCAAGTTAGAAACTGGCAAAACTGGAGACTCAGAACTCTAAAGCACATATGTTATAGATCATAGGGCCTAGATATATTTTAAGCACGTAAGTGTGTGAATTTTTAAGAAAAATTTTTTTGCTTTTAATTATGAGAAAGTTCAGTTTACTAGAGTTTTACATTGTCATCTTGCTCACTCATTCTTTCCCTAAATGATATTTACTGAGCACTTACTCTGTGTTGGAGTCTGCTGCAGGTGCTTGGGATATAGCAATGAACAATTCAGATATAGTCAATGGCCTCTGAAAAACACAAAACAAAACAAAAACTCTCTGCCATTGACTTGATTCAACTCATAGTGACCCCTCCTTGGGTTACCAAAGTGGTATCTCTACAGAAGTAGATTGCTCAATCTTCCTTCCAAGGAGTGGCTGGTGGGTTTGAACTACCAGCCTTCTGTTTATCATTCAAATGCCTCAGGCACTACTATATCACCAGAAATTCTAGATAGGTCACATCAAGTTAATCAAAGAAAGCTGAAATATACCTTCAGGTAGTAATAAGCACTTTGAGGCCAAATCAATTAAGACAAGATAGAGTGTGATATGATGTGTTATCTCCTGCAGTGTTTTAGGAGAAGTCCTCTCTAAAGAGGTGACATTTGAACAGAGACCAAATGAAAGGAAGGAGCCATGTGAACATCTGATGCAGGAGATACAGGCAAAGCAAGCAACAAACCAAAGGCCCTGAGGTGGGAGTTGCCTGAGGAGCAACTGAAAGGCAACATGGCTGCAGTGACTCATAAGGCAAGAGTCTTAGGGGTAGCAATGATTAGTTCATTCAGGGCCCCATAAATGATAGCAAAAAGTTTGGATTTTGAAAAAAGAAAATGTCATGTTTTGACTTATGATTTAAAAGAGTATGTGGAGTGAATGTTGTGTGGAGCATGAGAGTTGAGAGGAGGAGAGAACAGAGAGAGAGCATGATGAGGCCATGGGAATAGTCCAGGTGTAAATGATGCAATTTGGACTAGGGTGATGGCAATGAGTGGTAAGATGCAGTCAGATTTGGGATACATTGTGAAGCTAGAGCCAGGTGGATGTGATGTAATTTGTGAAACAGAGACATCAATGATGACTCCAAAGCAGATCCATTTATTAAGATGGAGAATTATGTGGGAGGATAGACTGTGGGAGGAACCAATAGTTTATTTGTGTATGGGTCATGTTTGAGGTGTGCATTATTCATCTGAGTTATGATATTGAGTAGGCAGTTGGATATTTGAGTATGGAATATAGGGAGAGGGCTGGGCTGGAGATGTATTATAAGCATAGGTTGTTGCTGTTGTTAGCTGTCTTAGAGTCAGCTAAGACTCATGGCAATCCCATGTATCATTAGACTGTGTGATCCATAGATTTATCATTGGCTGATTTTTTAAAAGTAAGTTGCTAGGCCCTTCTTCCTAGGCTGTCTTAGTCTGGAAGCTCTGCTAAAACCTGTTCAGCATCACAGCAACACACAAACCACCAGTGACAGACAGGTGGTGGCTGTGTATAAGGTGCATTGTCTGGGAATCAAATCTGATTCTCCTGAATGGAAGGCAAGAATTCTATCATTGAACATACTGGAATACAGATGGTATTTAAAAACAGAGGACTAGTCAACTGCACTAAGAAGATGAGTGGTTTCAGAAAAAAGGACAGGTACAAAGTAAAGACTGAGCCCCTAACATTAAGATTTTGTAAGATGAGTATTTCTAAGCAAAGGAGTTTTCAAAGGAAAGGCTAGAAAAGTAGGGGGAAATCCATGAGTGAGTGGTGTCCTGGAAGTGAATGAAAAACATGTTTTCAAAATGAAGGAGTGATGAATGCAGTCAAATATGGGTGAGAGACTGGGGAAACTAAAATTGAAAACTAGATTGAGAATAGACAATTGGATTTTCAATTTGGACACCAATAGTGACTTTGTTAATAGTCTTTAGTGAGGTGGTGGGAATGAAAGTCTACTGTGGCTGGGTTCAAGAGAGAACTGGTGCCAAGAATGTGGGCACAGTGTGGAGAGAACACCCATTGAAAAACTAGGCTGTAAAGGAAAGGACAGAAATGGGGTGATAAAAATATTTTTTTTATTTTATGATTAATTTCTAGGGCCAAGTCAAACCATAATCGAATTATATTTTGTACAAATCTTTTCTTAATTTAAATAAACAACATGCTCCTAATCAGGATGAGACAAAGTGTAGGGTTCTCATGACAGCCATGAGGC